GAACAAAACACCATCCCTGCCCTTAAGTATCCAGTCTCAATGAGCATGGTGAAAGATAGGCGCGCAGTATGGATAGTGCAAAGAAGAATGTATAAACAATATGCTGTGAACACAGCGGGAGATACTAATTCTGCCAGGGAGAACCAGCAAGAAGTTCCTTGAAGAAATGGTATGCATACAGGCCTCTGGGGTGTGGATAGGATTGTGACAGGTGAATGCACCAAAAATAAATTCCAGGAGAAACAGCCTTTAATTTATTCAACAAACATTTGTTCATCGCCCACAATAACACTGATACTATGCCAGGCACAAGGACCCACAGCAGAGTGGCCTAGTGTATACATACTGTGCTTAATAAGGTCAGGGAGATCACTGCAATTTTTGTGTGTGTGCACACTCTTGTGTGTATATGTGCACACACATGCATATATTTGTGTGTGTGTGTGTGTGTGTGTGCGCGTGCCGTTCATATGGAGGGTCTGGGAGTGCTGGGAGGGGGACTATAGCCAGATCATGGAGGGCCTAGAATGCCTTCATTTATTTAGGGGAGAGAGCACAGGTCTCCCCTCAAATCCTGGGTCTGTTTCTCACTTTGAGACCTTGGGCAAGTTGCCTATCTTTCTGTCCCCAAGTTTTCCTGTTTGGTAAAATGAGCATAGCAGCGCGTACTCTTAACAGTTGTGAGGATAGTATGTAGGTTTGCAAATGGTCGTTATGGTTTCTGGCTTTTAGTGGCTGCTCATTAAACAGCAGGTATGACTTCTTCTGTGGACTGCAGGCAACCAGTCTGGGCAAGAGAAGCAGCTGAATGGATCTGGGTTTTCAAGAAATTGTGATAGAGGCCATGATTAGAAGAATGGGTGGGAGTGAAGGGGCAGACAGGGTGAGGGTGGTGATTGAGCCTGAGCTCTGGGAGAAAAGGAAGGAGGCTGAAGCAATGGTCTAGGCAAAAGATGAGGACCCAAACTAAGGCATTGAGATGGAATGGACAGAAGCTATATAACTAGGCGGCAAAATGAGCTTGCTGACTAACTGAATGTAAGAGATGAAGGAAAGAAATCTCTGGAATGGTGACAGGCTTTTTTCTAGGTGTCCAGCAATCCCACTAACCTGGATCTGTGATACAGGAGGAAGGGCAGGCTGCAGGAAGGGGGACTGGTGGTGGGGTGTGTGAGAGAGGAGGAAGTCAGGGGTATACTGAGGGACCAGAACCTCTTAGGAAGCCTGCTGTTAGAGAAAAGAAGAACGCTTCATTGTTCTGTGAGTGTGGGAGAAATGGGACAAGTAGGCTCTGTGTCATGAATAAGTGAATTTTAGAATCTCTAGAGTGGGCACTTGTGACTTCCACTGCTGAAGGACTTCATTCTAACTTGTGTCCCATGCTGTTGATTTTCTCCTTTTAAGGCATCCCTTCTCAATGCAGACCTAGGGATCATCTTCAGGACTCTGAAGCCTGAAGGCCAACTCCATGGGTTCCAATCCTCCTACTTATCCTCCTCCACCACCGTTTCCCAGGGAGCCTCCTCAGCCTCCTCGGGTCTAATCCTGAATTGTTTTCTAAGTACAGTTGTATTTAGTGCAAAGTTTATCCTTGAGGTCATTTCCTGACATTGTTGCCAAATGTGTCAGGTGGTTTCCCACAGGTGGGAAGACACAACACCAACAACAGGAAAACAAAATTCCTTGCTTTGGCCTCTCTTTTCATATACTTATGTGAACATAAAACTGTATTACTTACCATATATGGAAGATAACCCATCAGACGACATGAAAAAATGTTCAGTGTTATTCAGTTCAGAGATGGGCAACAGCTTGCCTCAAGCCCTGACCCTCAGGCCCTGCTCTTTCTTCTTTCCAGAGGCGGATTATTAGCAAGAGTCAGCACCAAACTGGGACCTTCTTAGTATCATCAAGGGGGTTGGGGAAAATCGGAAAGGGAACAGCATTCTCAGTCTATAGCTCTGTGTTGTTAAATTCTGAGTCTTTGTACTGCTAAAGCTAGTGTGGGTGTCAGCAGGGCCTCATCTCATGTTAGAAGTCCTAACTCCACTAAAGTTAGTCATTCATTTTTTGTGTCCTTGCTAGATTGGGAGTTCCTTGATAGTAAGAGCTTACTCACAGTGTCTTCGGCAGCGTATGTAATGGTTGGACACAGCTGATACTTCATAAAGGAACAAAGCATGATAGCAAATGACAATCTTTCAGCGTAAAAGACTTAGGGCAATTGTTTGTTGAGGAATGGAGTGGGTGGGGAAAACAATGCTGTAGGGCCTGGAAGTCTAATAGGAGTCTGGTGAAGCATCTGAGAGAAGGGAGGCTATAGACACCCAAGATGAACCACATTGACATCATAACAGTGTTGCCTGATGAGGCCTCTGTTGAAGACATAGTGCAGTGACAAAAGTGTATGTTCTACTATCAGACAGTTCTAGGGTTAATCCAGACTCTCACTGTTTACTATTTACATGAACTATGACCATACTATTTTTGGTGAGACTTTAATTACCTTGCTGTAAAGTGGTGATAATACCTCCTCTACAAAGAGTCTTACTATCTTTTAGGATAGAGGGTGGGACTTAGGAGACCAGCAGCAAATAAAGACTTTGCTATCAGAGGATATTATCCTATCTATCTGTCTATTTCTCTATCCATCAATCATACTAGTCTCAGTAAGTGTTCAGGATTATTATTGCTGTTCTTGTTTTGGTAGTTGAATCCCCAATACTCACTATGGTTGCTAGTATATTGTAAGCACCCAAAAGATGTTTATTGGTTCAAAGAGTTACACTGACCTGTGAGCTTTCTACGGGAAACTATTCCTCTTCCAGTCTTTCCTGTCTGAGTATTTGTCACCACCATCTTCCCAGATGTTTAAGTCAGAAGTCTTGATTCCTTGATTTATGGGGTGCCTTCTAGGAACTAGGGTGGTGCGATGGGGAAGGTAAAGGCAGCTTCAAAAACTAGACCCAAACTCAGCTCTCCAGATGTTAGAGAAAAAAGGAAGCAAAAGAACTTATCATTTGCTCAATTTTTTACCCATCTTTAGATGTAGCTTATAAGTGAAGCATTTTAAGAGTGTTTTTGACAATATCTGGGCAAACATGTAGAAATACTTATAATCCACTGCCATCTGAATTGAGAAAGGCTATTAGTATTGTGCATAGGTTTCCTGGGAATAAGATATGCAAATGTCATACTTCAGAATTCTCACCATCTGTGAAAACTAGTAAGTAACACTATTTTATTTTTTTTTTATTAAAACTTTCTTTGGGGGATACTATTTATTTTAAATCCTACTAGGATTCCCCACTTTGGTTCAGCCTTTCTGTGGATGAGGTAAATGACTGGAAAGAAGAATTAAAAAGGCACATGAAAAGGGACTCTTGGCTAAATCTCTGGGGAAACTAACTTACAGCTGAGTGAGTTTGCTTATAACTACTGAGTGTGGGCTGTACTTTACATATCTATCTCTATATATAACAAATGGCTTCAGAAAAATTCAGTTAGTCTTTGGCTTAATTTTGAGTCACTAGGCCCCTCATTTTAGAGGGTGTATATTGTGTGTGTGTGTGTGTGTGTGTGTGTGTGTGTGTTGGAGGGAGAACTTTGGGTACAAAGCGTGTACGTACTTGTAAAAAAGCATTTGGAATGTGTGTGTAGGAAGAGAACTTTATGGGTCTTTATGTAAGGAGGGAGGATGTGGAGGGAAAAATGTATTTGTGTGTGTGTGTGTGTGTGTGTGCATGTGCCCGCGTTCGTGTATGTAGTGCAGATGGTGGGCTGAAGTACACGAGCTGCCAGCCTCTTAGAGATCCAGACAGTGGTGCAAGATATAAAATGTCGTAGATGGTGATTGTTTTCATTTTAGACCAGCACACAGGTCTTTGAGAAGCCCTTGACTTTCTCCTCCTCCTTGTCTTGTTAAAAAGGGATTAGAGTCCAATTAAGTCCTTTAATCCCAAGGTAGAGATTCATGTTTTAAAACAAGATTTACAGCTTCAAAAAAATACATCAGTGCAAGCTGAAGTTTGTCCTTTCAAGTTGCCACCTGCATGGTTCTAAAGAGTGTTTTCAGCAGAATCCCCAATACGCAGTTATTCTTAATTACTTTGCCTCATACCTCCAGTCCTTCATCTTTCAAAGTACCCTTCAACCTAAATAGCCACATGCTGTTAGAAGTACTTCTGCTTCTGGATTGCCACAATCGCCGCTTGCTTTATCTCCCTTCAGTTGGCAATTCAGTGTTCTGGCTTAATAATAATAATACTAAGAGCTAGTGCTTATTGGATGTTTAGTATGTGCCAGGCATTGTGCTAAGCACTTTACATGTATTATCTTACCAAATAATACATATAAAAACACGCAGGGTTGGCTTCATAGGTGTGTGACATATGCAGTCACGGGGGCTCTGTGTTTAGAAGGGCTCTTCCCTTGGTTTAATGCTCTGCTGTTGCTGTATAGAAATTCTTAACCATTTCTGAGCAAGGGACCTGCATTTTCACTTTTCACTGGGCCCTGCAGATTATTGTAGCCAGTTCTGAAAACACCTAGTAACCCACATTTAACCCATATTTCTCTTTTCCTTCCTTTCCACGTGATGCCTAAGATATCGCCATAGGATAGAACAGTGAATTTCTAATCGTGGTGCCAAAACCTTCTCTGGAAAATGGATGCCATTATTTGGAGGGAAGTACTTTAAGAGACAGGAATCACGTCATGGCTTTTAGCATGGGAAAGCAAAATATCTGTGAGGATCCCCAGTGACTCCTCTTAGCCTCAGTTTTCTTACCTGTAAAATGGGAGTAACAGTAACACCACCTAACTCAAGAGGCTGTTTCAAGGACAACATGAGATCATGTGTCTATAGTTCTGACACAGAATATACACTATTAATGCATTATGGCTGCTCAGCAGGTACTCAATATCCACTGTTGCTTGTGACATGGTGTGTGTCACCTGCCTAATCCCAAGGTGCCTTATCCCAAGGGTTTGTTTCCTACCTGTCCCACAGAGCTGGGAGGAACATCTGTTTTCTCCATGTGCTGGGTAATCACAGAAGGGTTGCTGGAGCTGATGAGCACCGGAGTGCTGATCTCTACCATATGGCGCCCAGAGGGAGAATGAACCATTCTGTTGAGAGTGTTCAAGGCTGTTGTGATGGAGAACTGTCCAGGTCCCTTCCTCCTGGATCCAGGGCCCCTGCGGAGGGTGGGCGTGTTGTTTGCTTTGCCTCGGGAGGATGAGGGCACCAGGGACAGGGTTTTTGTGCGGGCTGACTGCCGGCCTTTGTTCTTCTCTAGGAGGTGTCTTGCAGTGAGGTTTGGCTGAAAACACAGAAGATCCATGAGAAGTCAGTCTCCCTTAGTGTGAGCAGCGAAGTCCTACTCAGGCTGGTCTGAAGCCAGTTCAGATGTTACTGTCATCTTTGGTCAACTTCCATCTTTTACCAATACTTCCCAGTTACTTCACTGTATCAATACACTCTGACAACTTTCTTGCAAAGTAGGTACTGCTCTTATTCTTTACTGAGGTCAGCAGGGGTTAAAATAAACTATGATACTCTTCCCTGATTGGGAGCATTTTTCCTTCATCCACTTTTCCTGGGCACTCCCCCACCCTTTTCCTCCTCTAGCCATGCCTGAATGCCACTGGGTGGGCTGCAGCCCCTGTGTTCGCCCACTGTGGCACTTTACACACCACACTGTTCATTTCCCTTCCTTCCTTCCAGTGGACTGGTGGCCACCCGGGGGCAGAGAGCTCACACAGGTCCATCTCTGCCCTATCCCACAGTGGGTGCTCAGTGAGTATTTGTGGAATCATGTGTACATGAAGCTGCTCTGGTTTATACATTTGATAATCATCTGTGCTAGAATGTGAATCCATTTGGAACTTTGAATCTTTATGTTAAGACCATCTTTTACTACTTCCTTTAAACACTTTCATCTCCCCACCATTATTTCTTGTTCTATATCTCTTAATCTGTGATATACTCGTTAATCAGGAAAATAATAAAAGGGGAGGAAAAGAAAAAGAATAGAAAAGAAAGAGCAAGCCTTGTTTTGTAGAGTTTACTAATTTCTATGATATAAATATCTACTAGTGGTTTACAACTAGCTAGCAGAATTTCTGAAAAATGTAAAAACCAGCTCTTGCAATCTAGTTCTAGCTTTAGCACAACCACCAACTGTGCTATAGTTTGAGTTCAATTCCTTCAGAAGGCTGAAATATGCTGACAAAGTTGCCCCCTAAAGCCACATATCTCATTCTAATGTAGAGATGCAACGATAGAGGTAAAAGGGAATTTGCCCATTTAAGAACTTTTTATGACAATGTGCAGATGATTAAAATAGCCAATGTAGAAAATCTTAAAGAGGAGGAAGTTCTTACCTTAAGAAGCTTGTGGTATAGTGAACAAGAAAATCAAGAAGGGGAAGTAGCATTATTATGTCTTCTTTAAAGATGAGAGAGCTGTGGCCCAGAAGGGGTGATTTAAAAATGGCACCACCAGTAAATAGACAACAAAACAAGAAAATATCAGATAGAAATGAGTGCTTTGATGTGATAGCAGCAGGGGGAGACGCATACTTTGGGGGAGGGGTCAAGGAGATCCCACTGAGAAGATGGCATTTAAGCAAGACACAGATGACAAGCAGGAGTCAGCCATGTGAAGACAGGGCTAAGAATATTCCAGACAGAGGGATCATAACCTAGTGGAAAGACCTTGAGGAGGAGAAAAAACAGTTTGAGAAAAAGTCAAGAAAGAAACAGATGCTGAAACAGAGAGAGTGAGGGGCAGGTGGTAAAGAGACCACAGAGATAGGCAGGGGCTGGGTCATTAAGGTCCTGGGAGGCTCAAGTTTTTTCTAGGTGTAATAGGAAGCCTTTGGCAGGATTAGGTAGACAAGTGACATGATCTGATTTATGCTTTTAAAAGCTCATGCTACAGTTTGGCAGTTTCTTACAAAATTAAACCCATACTTAGCATCTGACCCAGCCGTCCCACTCCTACGTAATTACTGAAGAGATATGAAAACTTATGCCCACTCAAAAATCGGTATGCAGATGTTTATAGTAGTTTACTCATAGAAGCTAACAAGTGGAAATGACTGTGTTGTCTTTCAGCTGGTGTGTGGACAAACTCTGGCACATGCATACAGTGGAATATGGCTCATCAATAAAAAGGGACAAGCTGGTCATACACCCAACAACATGGATGAATCTCAAATGCTTTGTGCTAAGTGAAAGAAGCCAGATTTAAAGGCTACATTTTGTATGAATCTACTGATAAGACATTCTGGAAAAGGAAAATTATAGGAGCAGAAACCAGATCAGTGGTTGCCAGTGGTTGGGAGGCAGGGCAGGGGCTGATGATAGAGTCAGCATGCTGTTGTATTTTTGGCAGGACTTTTCTATTGGAAAAGTTGGAACTTTTGGAACTTTTCTATTATCTTGATGGTGGTGTGGTTATACTGTATGCACTTACCAAAATGTATAGAAGTGGACACCAAAAAGAGTAAATTTTACTGTACACAAATAAATACCTAAAAGCTCATTCTGGCTGTCATGCAGAAGTACCAGCCCGGAGACGCCTGGGTGGCTCAGTGGTTGAGCATCTGCCTTAGGTTCAGGTCATGACCCCCAACCCAGGATGGAATCCTGCATCAGGCTCCTCGTGGGGAGCCTGCTTCTCCCTCTGCCTATGTCTCTGCCTCTCTCTCTCTCATGAATGAATGAATGAATGAATGAATAAATAAATAAATCTAAAAAAAAAAAAAAAAAGAAGTACCAGCCCAGAAGTAGGGAGACCAGTTAGGAAGTTACAGAAGTTGTCTAGGCAAGCTCTGACGGCAATCTGGACTAGGGACAATGCCTCACATTCCCCAGAGCACCTATCCCTCCATTGTTCACCTGGTAAGAGGACAATATATATTCTTTGAGTTGAATGAGTAAAGTTCTTTATGATTGTTCACAGTTACAATGAAAGAAGTTGATTTTTTTTTTTTTTTGCCTCTACCTAATTGTTCTGTCCCCAGGTGAGCAATACTTTCAGTGTTTTCATCAGCAACATTGACAAAGGGCTCTGTGTGACTCTTGGTCTGCCCTGTGCTCTGCCAACATGATTAATAGCTCAGTTGGGGGAGGATTGCAGACCTCTTAAATTTGCATCCACTCATTTGAAATGATATCCTTGAGGTTCACTGGGCTGAGCAAGGTTCACATAACCCAGGCAGGCCTCACTGGAGAAGTCTTGACAGGAATGGGTGTAAGCTCAGCATTTGTTTTACCACCTTTTTATCCAGGTGCTATTCAATAAATCAAGTGATACATTAATAAGAAAAATCCTGTTTGTGAAAAAAACAAAACAAAACAAAACAAAACCCACAACCAAAAACCCCAAAACTCCCAAACCACACACACACACACAAAACCCAAGAAACCAAGCCACGTCATTCTTACAAGAAACCTTTCCTTCTTTCCAATTGCTTTACATGGCACTGGTAATTCAAAACTTATTTAAAGAGTTCTCAGCAAGTGCTAGTCTTAATGAAATGACTGGAGTCAAAATTTAAGTACTGCTTTAAAAAGCTCAATTTAGATTTCAAGTAATTTTTGAAAATCAGGTTCCCAGATTAGAGCAACCACTTGATTATCTTTTTCCCCTCCTAGCAATTAGGAGAACAAATGAAGCAATGGCTAGTTTGATGATAATCTGGAGGGTTCTTGTAATCACTAATTTTAGAGGTGAAGTGGTGGGGAGAGTGTCCAAATGAATAATCATTAAATGTAGAAATTTTGGAAAAAAGAGTACCAAAGATGGGTAATAAAATCAATGATGCTTTCTCCCCCCAGGAGCTATGGAGAAGTTTCTTGAAATAATGCAGGGGACTGTGTAAGCTCTGAAATGCAAAAACTGAACCCCCTCCTATGTATCCAGCTAGATATTAGCTGGAGCTGGTCTCTGTCCTTGGAGACTTAACCACTGTCTCCCCATCACTGTAATTGTTCCTCTCTAGCAAATGTTGCTTGACCCAGCAAATGCTTCCACCACTAACCCAGGCACATAAAGCACAAAGTGAGGCATGCATTCTTGACCACTCCCCCTACCCTCTCCTCACTTCTGTCAACCTCCAAGTCCTGTGGATCTACCTCCTAAATGGTGTTGAATCTATTCACTTATTTCCAATCTCCTGGTCCAAGCTACAGTCATCTTGTAACTGAGACTGCATACACTGGCCTCCTAAGTGGTCCTTCTGCTTTTTCTCTCTCCTCTTCAAATTATTCTTCCCACTGTAGCCAGAAAAACAGTCTAATAAACCCAGGTCTGATGCAGAGTTACTGTGTCCCTTAAAATCTTTTGATGGTGTCTACTGACTTCCGGATCAAATCCAAATCTTTTATGATATGGCAAAGACCACAATATCTACTAGATAGTCCTTGTACCTCCTTGTACTTCTCGGCTGCCTTGAAGACAGGTGAGGCTAGGGGCATGGTTCGGGCCAGTGGGCAATGAGTGGAGTGACAAGTGTCACTTCTGATCTGAGGCCATTCACTGGGTTGTAACTCAGTCTTCCTTACCCCTCCCCTGCCATGAAAACTAGGGCAGTCCATGTGTTTCAGATGGCAACTACAAGATGATGGCCCAGCCTCAGTGAGTGTTCTGGAGTGACTATGTGAGCAGAGCCTCTCACTGTTCTGTGCCAAACATGTAATGTGGGTGAGAAATAAGTTTATCTTTGTCAAGCCATTGACAGTTTGGGGCTGTTTATTACCATAGCATAACCTAGCTTATGTTGACTAATACAGGATGACATATAAAGCCCTCTGTGATCTGTCTCCCACTTACTTGTCTGGCTGTGTCATGTCATTCTCTTACTCTCTTTGCTCCAGTTCTAGTATTCTTTTGGTCCTTGGGTATACTACACTTCCTCATCCTGCAAGATTTTTGCGCATATTACCTCTATTCCCTCAAACATGCTACCCTCCATGCTCACCTACATAGTTTCTAATCATCTGTCTGATCTTGGCTTAAAAAGCATTTGCTGACCCCCTTCCCACAAAAGTTGCACATTATTCTTTCCTTCTCCTATTTAGTTCCCTCTCCTTCACTCTTTGTATCATTCATTACAATTTGAATTACTTGGTTAATGTCTGACTTTACAATCCCTGAAAGTAGGGACCTATATCTGTCTGTATCTTTATATTATTTTTTTAAAATATTTTATTTATTTATTCATGAGAGACACACAGAGAGGCAGAGACATAGGCAGGAGGAGAAGCAGGCTCTAAGCGGGAAGCCCGATGTGGGACTCGATCCTGGGATGTCAGGATCACACCCAGAGCCGAAGGCAGGAGCTCAACCACTGAGCCACCCAGGGATCTCTGTCTGTATCTTTAGACTTTAGCCTAGGACCTGACATAGCAGGTACTCAATGTAAAATGAGTTGAATGATTGAATATACATATATATAGGACAGGGGTCACACGGAATGGGTTTGTTTTCTAAATTTTTTCTCCTTATTCACTTGTTAAGGTAAATTTTTTTTTTAACAGAGTACCTCTGTGTTAGTAGCCTATGCAGTCTAAGCAACACCTGCTTAGTGTTGGCTTAGACCTAGCAGTCTAAGCCATCAGGTGTTTAAGAGAAGACAGAGACAACTGAGTGGTCAACTAGTGGTGACATTTTATGGAGGAAGCAGGTTTCTAGTTGAGCCTTGTAACCTGAGTGAGATTTGAACAGGTGGAGAGGATCGGGTGTGTGTGCCTCAAAGGGGCCTCAGGAAGAGAAAAAGCACTGGTAATGAGAATATTGTTTACTAGACACTGTTAGAAGACCAGCTTCTTGGGACCCATCCTCTTCCCTTCCAATTTCCAGTCTTTCAACATTGATTGAGTTGGAAGAGCTATAGAGAATCTTGCAGGCTGGATAGTGTTCTGGGCATACCATTTGCTTCAGAACCTGTTTTGGCTCTTAAGAATGAGAGAATTGGTCTCTTTTTCTCCAACTATGTCTCTGTTTTCACCCTACCTTCCTAGATGGTGGAAAGCATGCCTTTTACTATTCTCATAGCGCCCCACTTCTCACTTTTAATGCTTTATGCTTGGTAAGCATCCAATTGATGCAGTTAAACAATGGAAACTCTCTTTTAAATTTGTAAAGATCTGCCTCAAGCTAAGGTGAAGCTCAAGGATAGAGAGGTTAGGAACTCCAGGTTATAGTATTATTATACTTGAGAAATAAGTAGATATAGTCTAGCATGTGCTCTTCCTTTGTTTTCTTTTTAAAGTAGCTTTAAAAAAACCCAGAAGGAATATATGCTCATTTCAGAAGCTTTATAAAATATAAGTTGGCAGGGGCAGTCCGGGTGGCTCAGCGGTTTAGCTCCGCCTTCAGCCCAGGGTCTGATCCTGGAGTCCCGGGATCGAGTCCCACGTCGGGCTCCCTGCATGGAGCCTGCTTTTCTCTCTGCCTATGTCTCTGCCTCTCTCTCTCTCTGTCTCACATGAATAAACAAATAAAATCTTTAAAAAATATATATAAGTTGGCAGAAGACAATGAAAATATCTAGATTTTCATTATCTGGTGATCACCACTGTTAATATTTTTGCATATGCCCTTCCAGTCCTCTATCCATTTATATATATACACACATATGTATAAAGCTAGTTTCATACAGTTCCAATTATTTATCATGGTAAAAAACATATGACAAGAATTTACCCTAGTAGCCATTTTAAAATATAGGATGCAGTAGTGTTGAGTATATTCATATTGTTGTGAAACAGATCTTCATGACTTTCTGACCTTCTAAATCCAGAACTCTATACACATCAAATTTTATTTACTTAGCAACAAATCATAAACCTCTTTCCATAATTACCAAATACTCAGTGATATTTATATTCTTCTTTAGAATTATTCTAATGGGTATATATTTTTTCATCACCATAATTTTTAAAAATGAAATCCTTATTGGATATTTAGATTATTTCTTGTTTTTCACCATTACACACAATGCTATGGCGAACACCTTGTACATATATCTTTGCATACTTGTTCAAATATTTCTTTACAATAAACTCTTGGATGTGGAATTGCTGAATCAAAAGAGATATAGGTTTTTAATGTTATTGATATGGGTTTATTTGAGTTTGAGCATGAGAAATTGCACAATTCACACTCCTACCAGCAGAATAAAAAGGCCCATTTCCCCACACTCTTGCCAGAACTGGGTGTTATCTTCTGGCATCTTTTCTTTGGAGACTTTAGTTACTTCTGAAATAAGCCTTCTATCAAAAAGGCATTTCTCTCAGGTGTCCCTGTGGCACAAGTGTATTTCAGGGTAAGCGTGTATCAGATGCAGACTTAATACGTACCTCTACAAACAAGATCGGGAAGATGCCTACTTGATCCCCTAACTTGCCTTCTGCCCAGTTCTCATCTACTCGGCTGATCACAGTGATGATATCATCCTGAAAGAGACAAAGTCTCAAGGTCAGCATTTGCTCTCGGTTTTCAGGTGGCAAAAGCTTTCAGTGGAGATCAGAGTGGAATCCCAGATGGTGTAAGGTGCAAGAAATGTAACTCTTTCATAATTTATTTATAAAATCTTCCTCCATTAAGGGCAGTATTTGGGTCACCAAGACTATAAGAGGAGTAGAAATAATTTGGAGGAACAATGGGATCCAATAGAAAATTTGGAAATGTTTCTAATTTTCAATCACCAGCAGAATCTGGGTGTTAGTTTATATTAGTTTTATGGAGAAATCAATATGGGAGCCACAGGGAGATAGATTTTTAGCTTAGCAAAAGGCAGAATAAATTTCATTCTAATTTTGAAGACTTTGAAGAACCTATTCAACTTTAATTTTTTTTTTATCTTTAAGTAATCTCTACATCCAACATGGGGCTTGAGCTCACAACCCAGATATTAAGAGTCGCATGCACCACTGACTGAGCCAGCCAGGCACCCCTACTCAATTTTTAATGTATCAAATGTAAGGTGTCTTTTTACTCAAAATTTTCTTGTTATAAAAAGTGATATGTAGATTTGTAGAAACATTTGAAAATACAGTAAACAAAACAAATATTGTACCACAATATAGATACAGCCATTGTTAACATCCCTGTTAGCACATTTCCCCCCTACATTCTTTTCTATGAAGATAAAACATATCTGTTCTATATACTATATATATATTGATTTTTTAAAACTTTGCTGAAAACATACACTGGTTCAAGAGCTATAGAACATTTCCAGCACCTACAAGGTTCCTTTGTGCCCCTTCCCATCACCCAATAAGAGCTAACCACTATTCTGACTCCTAGTGTGTGTATATGTACACATTCATTCAGCCCATCCTTATATTTCATCTATAAGAAGTCATACAGGACACACTGATTTTTCACTGTATACCATACCAGGAATGCCTTTCTACTTCCATACCCATTCATCAGTCCAAATCTGAATATCCATCCTTCTCAGTAATTTAGATGAATCCAAATCAAAGTTCATTACTTCACTGTACCTTTTCTTAGCTTTCTCTGTCCCTATCACAATTTAGTTACACATTTATAGTTATGATTTCTTTAATGCCTGTCTACTGCATCAGACTATAAACTCCATGTGCTCAGGGTCTCTGCTCTGTTCATTTCTGTGTCCCCAGCACCCAATACAGTGGTTCCCATTTAGTAGTCACTCAATAAATATTTCTCAAAGAATGTGTGCATGCATAAATAAGGGGATATGTGAGTAAACTGCACAAGTACCTGAGATAGAAAACACTAGGAAAAGAACATCTTTGAGGAGGAAGATTTGGGTTTATTTATTTATTTATTTATTTAAGATCTTGGGTTTAATTTGGACCTGCTGAGTTAGGAAGATCATGAAATTTCCTAGTGTAGTCTCAGCCTTCCACAGCTTCCAGAATGGATCAAATCCTCTCTTCTGGTTCCTGGGTCATAATTTCTCATTAATGTGTCTGTTCCTTTCACTAGTCTGCCAGCTTTGTGAAGGTAGGAACATTGATTTGTCCTTTTTTCCTCTGTGGACAGCTTGGCACATGGATGGGCTCAATGAGCAAATGAGCAGGTGGAGTTTTTGCAAATTTTGCAAATTCCCAAAGAGGGATAAAAATGCAGATAATGCTTCCTGCCTCTGCCTTCCTCCAGTGGTGTCTCCAGAGCTCAGTGTTTAATGCCTGGCCACAAAGTAAATGTTCAATAAATATCTGTGGGCTTGAACTGCCATTCTTCTAAGCATCACTCCATAAGGGACTCAGTCTGAGGTGCCAAGACAATAATGCTCAGTATTTCAAAATATGGAGGACAGTGAGGTTATCTAGTTTGAGGCAATCTGAATCAAATCTCATTTCTGGGAGTGGTGGAATAAAAATGTTTGACAAAATAAAAGATCTTTCCTAAGTTTCCATACCAGATCTACTTCTAGTATCTGGTGTACTTAGCATAAGCAGCAAAGAGTGAAAATCACCCCAACTTTGGTCTTTGTGAGAGAATTCGAATGTGTAAGGAATAATAAATACGGAATACACAGAATTAAAGTAATCTAGACTTCAGTAAAAGTGTTGTTACTGGACAGCCCGGGTGGCTTAGCAGTTTAATGCCGCCTTCAGCCCAGGGCCTGATCCTGGAGATCAAGTCTCACGTCCGGCTCCCTGCATGGAGCCTGCTTCTCCCTCTCTCTCTCTCTCCCTCTCTCTCTCTCTCTCTCTCTCTCTCTCTCTCTCTCTGTCTCTGTCTCTCATGAATAAATAAATAAAATCTTAAAAAAAAGTGTTATTACTTGCACATGGTGAGAAATTATCTGATAAATAAAAGAGGCAAAAAAATCTTAGGGTAATTAATATGCTTGGAAAATAATATCTTGTAAGAGGTTATTTATATATAAAGGCATAATTATGTTATTGTGTGTTTCTGGAGTGCTTTGAATACAATGTTTACAATTAAATAGAATGTTGCAAAGAGTAGAATTAGGTACTCAGAACTTAGTCAGCAAGAATATCCTCACAGATACATGGTAAAGAAGTAAGAGCTCTATTTTGCCCAGCACACTGTCAAACTGTATTTGTAAATTTCTGTCCACTTATCTGTCTCTTCTACTACTCTGCCTAAGGGCAGAGACTGTGACTTGTTCATGCTGCATCCCCCAGGGCCTGTGAAGAAGAGGTGCTCAAAAGTGACTGTAGAATGAATGAGTGAAGATGTGAATACTTATTTTTGTAATTGTAATATAAAAGGTTTAAGGATTTTCATCAAACTCTTACTAGTAGATTTCTTTGGCAACTTCCATTTAGTTTTGAATGGTACAAACACACAGTACATATATATGCACACGTATATACATAGAAACATTTATGTGTAAAATAGGTACACATTTTAAAAATCAGCAAGTATTAAACAAGTCCAGGTTCTGCTACAGTCTCTATGTAGTTGCTGGTGACCTCCACGGCTGCCCAGAATCTTACCTTGAGGAAGGTCAGGCAGTCCTGGTTCTCACTCTTGTCTTTGTCTCGTAGGTCGAAGTTGTAGAGGGCCCGGCAGAGTGGGGGTGGCTGGGGAAGTTGTTTGATGACTTCCACGGAGCTGGCTGGGAAGATGCCACTGACTCCATTGATCTCCCCCTGGTACCAGTTCTCATCCAGCTGTCTCCGGAGAAGGATGACATCTCCCTTATTAAACCTCAGGTCACCAGGATTCTGCCCTCGGTAGTTGCATAAGGCCTTTGCTCGAGGCACCTGCAGTGTGGCACAGACCAATGAAATATGTCCTTAGTTTACATGCTAGGGGGACAGAAGATACAACATTGATAGCTGATTACTGAGCACTTCCTTTTTTTTTTTTTTAAAGATTCTATTTATTCATGAGAAGCACAGAGAGAGACAGAGAGGCAGAGATATAGGCAGAGGGAGAAGCAGGCTCTATGCAGTGAGCCCCATGTGGGACTTGATCCCGGGACCCTGGGATCATGCCCTGGGCTGAAGGCAGACGCTCAACCGCTGAGCCACCCAGGTGTCCCAAGTAAGTACTTCCTATGTGCTAAGGGCTGGATGCTTATTACTCCCTTTCCTAAGTAGGGCAACTGAGGCACAGAGTGGTTTAATACCTTGTCTAAGAAGACACAGCAGGGAAATAGTGGATTTCCTAGTTTCAGAGTCCCTGTTCTTAATCAATATGTAGGGAACAGGATTTTGGACTTGACTCCATAACTACGTGAACTTGAGTGAGTCAGTGACTCTCTCTGGAGCCTGCATACTAATTGGGAGAATTCTGGCTCTACCACTTTCCTCTCATGTGACTATGGTCAAGTCACTTAATCTTTCATAAATCGTATCCATCTATAAAATGGGGTAAAAATAGAATATGTACTTCATTAGGGTAGTCTTGAAGACTAAATGTTTTTAAGATCTTATTTATTTGAGAGATAGAGTGAGGGAGTGAGAGAGAGCATGAGTGGAGAGAGAGGGGCAAAGGGAGAGGAAGAAGGAGACTTCTCTCTGAGCAGGGAGCCCGACACAGGGCTTGATCCAGGGACTCTGGGATCATGACCTGAGCTGAAGGCAGACACTTAACTGACTGAGCCACTAGGTGCCCCTGAAGACTAAATATTTATAATGTTGCATTTAGCATATTGCTTGATAAATAGTATGGGCTCAATAAATGACATCTCTTATAATCATCATCTGTAAGGAAAGGTTAATGATACCAGTTTTACCTATTCCTCGGTGTTGATGGGAAAAAAACTGAGGTGAAAAGTCCCAGAAAATTCAAAGTGCTATATGAGGGGCACTGGGCTGCCTCAGTTGGAGAAGCATGCAACTCTTGATCTCGGGGTTGTGAGTTCAAGCTCCACACTGGGTTTAGAAATTACTTAAATCAATAAATAAGTTAATATAAAAAAATAGGAAAGAAAGTGCTATATGCGAGTGATGTAACATAATTTGTCTTCAGTCTCCTCTACAAAGTGTAAACCTCATGAGTGTTTGGATCATTAGGAAGCACTGAGACAAAGAATTAGTCAGAAATCAGTCATCACTTAAAAAAAAACTCAGCTAAAGAACTATCATTTGTTAAATTAGTTGTCTATCTAAATAATTGTTTCAATCAAGTGCATCTTTTTTTTCCTAATTGAAACAGGTTTCTACATGCAGAAACAGTTTCACTTTGGTCTTGCTTGAAGTCAGTGTGGCAAACTGAAAGTTCTCCTAACTTATGTTTACTAGCCCTTCAGTGTCACCTGGGTTTGGATTTTACTTTGTGCTTTCCTCAGCAGTGGGGTGAAGTAGTCCCCTCTCTCTCTCGGGGGTAGTCTTGCTATTCATAAGGGGATGTAAGCAGGCAGTATAGTATTTCAGTCTGCGAGAAACTTCCGAATCTGCGATGTTCATTTGAAAAGGAGTAGCAAGCAGTTTAGGGGTAGAGACAAGCCCTGAACAGTCCCTTGCTGATGGGATGGTAAAGCAGGGTTTTTCTGCTGGTCCCTGGATAGAGTAAGGAGGGCCCAGGGAGATAGAAAACCACAGGTACACAGCTCATCCTAGGGAAATGAGTGGACAAGTGAGCGAAGACATGTGTACTAGGAGTCTTAGCATGGTGTTGTGGATATCATAAATGGAATTGGTTGAAAAATTATGGAAAATCCTAAGTCATTAAAATTATACACTGATCTATAATTAATAAAATTGCCAGTTACTCATAATATATACTAAATATAACAGAAGAGGTTAAAAAGTTATGTTTTTATTATAAATGAAAACTAGGCTTTCATTGTAAATATATATGTATATTTTTATCTGGATGGCTATGCCAGCATTTTAAGAGTAGTTACTGCTAAGTGGTGATATTTTTTAATATTAAAAAAATGGTTTCCCTAAGTGCTTAGCCATGTTTTCTAACTTTTCTACAGTGAAATAATTGTATCGTCTACTAAAATTGGACAGTAGAGGGGCGTGTGGCTAGCTCAGGCAGTAGACCATCTGACTCTTGATCTCTCAGTCATGAGCTTGAGTCCCACATTGGGTGTGGAGATTATTTGAAAAAAATTGGATAGTAGAAAGAAAATGAATGAAACTGGGGAATGAGAAGTGAAAGGTATGAGAGAAATTTAGGAAGAAAATAAGCCAAGCTGACTAGGATCAACAAGCCAAGCCAACTACCTTTTTGAAGTTTCTTATCTGAGAAATACGCAAATAGAAGTAGAACGAAAGCATAGGATTGCTGAAGAATGATCTGAATCTGTTAGATTCCTAGGGTTGGGTAGATCAGGTGCAATAGTTGTCCCCTCTTTCTTCCAATTTTCCATTGTAATATAAATCACATTTTTGGGGTACATGGCCACCTGGAACACTGGTCACATTTTCCAGCCTCCTGGGGCAGCTTAGTTTTGGCCAATGGGGTATATATAAGCAACTTTTAGGATGTGTCATTCCTGAGAGAGACTGATTTTCTCTTTCTTGCATTTGCCATGTGGAATGCAGACATGATTGCTGGAGTTGTAGCTGCCATCTTGAACACTGAGGATGAAGGTCACACTGAATGAGGGAAAGAAGTTACAGAGTTGCCAGACAATTCCTAGACTACCTTTACTTCCAGTCTTTTGTCTGGAAGCAAAATAAACATCCATCTTGCTTAAGGCACTGTTAATTTGGATTTGTAAAAAGCGAAAGAACAAGAAGGAAGACTGAAAAAAATTGAGAGAAAGAACTGAAGCCCCTTTGGCTTTGCATAATAACAATAATACCAATGGCTAATGTTCATGAGTGTTCCTTTCCATGTGCTAGGTACTCCACGATAGATCTTATTTAATCTCATGACAGCCTGTTATTAGAAAACTGGGCATCAGAAAGGTTAAAGGAGTGGCCCAAGTTCATGAAGGTAGATGGTGGTGGTTTAAGATTTGAGATTGGGTTTGCCTATTCCGAAGAGCTCAAGCTCTTAACCACTCAGACAGTGTTTTTCAAAATAAAATCTGTGGTTCACCTATATCACCTGTATCTTCCGTGATGGAAGATATAGGTGGAAGATGGAAGATGTCCAAGATGCAGATTCCTGGACCCCCCAACCCTGACCTATTTTACCAGAATCTCTTGGCTGCATTTTTACCAAGCTCCTCCAGGCTCCAAGTTTGATGCCCCTGGTCTGATTTATATGTTATTCTAACTAAAATGGGAGCAATGGAGTTGTGATGTAGGTTTTGTGAATGGCTAAACTGCCTTTTTCTCTTTCTTTTCTGGAAGACAGTCCAGTGCAAGTGGCCACATATTTTAATGACTACTGAGCAAGCATATTAAAACTGAAATTGCATACAAAGTGCTTAAATCTCTGCAAAGATGCGTGGACTTTGAAACCCTGAGATAGTACTAAGTGCCTGACCAACTTCATCTTTCCTCCATCTCCCCTCAGTACAGATAAGTGTTGTGGAACTGTGTTGTGGAATCATAAATTGATTTTAAACATCTTCTTTCTCTTCAATCTCCCTTGGTATCTCAGCTCTACATTCATACTTATAGGAACCACTGCCTTCCTGTTGTAAAAATGGTTGGATGGGAGCAGGGGCAGGGAGAGAGGGAGAGAATCTGAAGAGAGGGAGGAAATTAACATTTATTGTGGTACTGACCAGCCACAGAAATGTGCTTCACATTATATATAGCTCTACTTCACTTTCTGTGTATTATGTCATTCATACGAACTAAAAATCTTCTGAAATAGGTGGCATCATCCCATTGTATTGGTGAAGAAATAGAAGTTCTGAGATGTTCACCATTCATACAAGGTCACACAGCCAGTGTGACCGACTGGCTCTTGTGACCTCAAGGCCTGGTGCTTCTCATTCTCATTCTTTTTCATCCAGCTGAAGTCATCAAGTATGTTTTTCCATCATAAAACTCATTTGGGCCTCTGTTTTATAATCAAAATCTGAATAGAGTGTGAATGCAATTTGCTTGCTGCTGGCTGTATTAGCATGAATTATTGAACTCCAGAGCCCTCACATAAAAGCTAAGCACCTGAAGAGACTCAGCTGGTTGATTCTATCCGGTTCTCAACTGTTCTCTCAGGGGAAAATGACTCAAGTTCCACATCAGCTACCACCCGTTACATTGTTGGTAATAGCTTTTATCACCCACAATTGTTTTCTGTCTCTACACGTGTAGGTGGGTGGGGAAATGCAGATAAAGTGGGTGTGGAGGTCTCAAAGCCAGGTCGTTACCAAACTCTTTTTCTTTGTGTTTTTCTGAAAGCCAGATAATCCAATGCTAGCTTGTATGTGCCTGAAGAGCTTTCCTTTTCTATGATTCAAAAGGCTCAAGTTTTCTGCGGTTCTGTAATTTGTCTATTCATTTGTCACCGCACTGGGTCTGAAAGCCACAAGGACGGCTTTGGATGGAGGGATAATGTGTGAAACCAAGAAACAAGGAAACAAGGTCGGGCAGACACATTAGCATAAAGGCATGTTGTAGAAATGAACACTAGTAGTAAAATTAGGGCAAGAATTCCTTCTCTGAGGAACCACCTGTTTGCTCTCTATCTTCTGATGGGCCTGTCATTCATTCTGGTCACACCACACACATAGGGGTTTGTGGGCCAGGCCAGCCACAGTACCCAAAACCCCTAGCATAGTGCTTTGTATGGTGCACTCATCTGCCTCCAGTGGGGTCAACTAAAATCTTCTCTGAGGTTTAACATATAGATGCTCTCTTGGATCATGAGCCTTGAGGAGGTAAACCTTGGACTACCAATG